ATATTTGGGGAAAAGCATTCTGTCTTCCACTTTAATTATTATGTTAGCTATAGATTTTTTGTAGATTCCATTTATTGTTTGAGAATATTCCTTTTTATTTGTACTTTGCCGAGAGTTTTCAGGAGTAGATACTGGATTTGGTTAAATACCTTTTCTGTGTCTTTTGACCTAATCAGACAATTTTAGATTTTCAGTTTATAAATATGGTAAATTACATTGGTTTTTAAACACTGGACTAAAATTGCACTCCTGGGTAAACCCCACTTGGCCAGGATGTTTCTGGATGTGTGATGTATTGTTGGTTTCAACTTGCTGAAATTTGGTTCAGAATTTTAGCATTTATACTCATAAGGGATATTGGTCTGTTGTTTTCTTTTTTTGTAATGTCTTTGTCTGATTTTGGTATCAAGGCAATGTTAATCTCATAGAATAAGTTTGAAGGTTTTCCTTCCTCTTCATTTTTCTGGAAGGATGTATCTACAATTGGTATTAATTTTTCTTAATTCTTTTGTAGAATTCACGAGTGAAGCCATCTGAGCCTGGAGTTTTCTTTGTGGGAGGATTTTTAAACTATAAATTCAATTTCTGTAATAGACATAGGACTATTCAGGTAATCTATTTCTTTTACACTGAGCTCTGTTAGCTTCTCTCATGAAATATGTTCCTTTCATTTAAGTTGTCAAATTTATTTGCATAAAGTTGTTGAATTTATTTGTGTAAAGTTGTTTACAATATACTTTATTATTTCTTTAATATCTACAGAATATCTAGTGTTGTTATTGCTCTCATTCCTGTTATTGGTAATTTGTGTCTTCTCTTTTATTTCCTGATCAGTCTTGCTTAATGGTTATCAATTTTATTGATCTCAAAGAATCAGTTTGATTTTCATTGATTTTCTCTATTGCTTTTCTGTTTTCTATTTCATTATTTTCCACTCTGGTCTGGTTATTTCCTCTCTTCTGTTTAACTCGTGTTTATTGTGACTTTCTCTTCCTGGTTTCTTAAGATGAAAGCTGGAGTTATTGGTTAGAGACCTTTCTTCTTTTCTAATATAGGCATTTAGTGCTATAAGTGGCATCCACAAATTCTGATATATACTGTTTTTAATTTCCCTTTTGATTTTCTCTTTGACCCTGTTCTTTTTAATCTTTTCAGTGCTCCTTTCCCTGGCCTTGGTAGTTTCGTTGCTTGCGTGTGCTAACCAGCACTCTGCTGAGTACTCGAGAGGGCGCCTCTGCTGATCTCCAGTTTCCTCTGTGTAACGTCCTCCCTGCTACTACGCTGTCCTGGGAACTCTGCTCTCCTTGATTTCCCTTGACTCTCAGCTATGTCTTCTCACTTAGGGAGGTGGGTTTTGCCTGGGGTCCCTCTCCCTGAGCTACAGCCTTCATTGTCTTATGTCCACTGTCCTAAAAGCTGTTGTTTCATATATTTTAGTCAGTGTGTTGGTTATTTAGTTGAGAAAGTAGATCTGTTCTCTATTACTTCACTTTAGTCAGAAGAAGAAGTTGGCAGTATTGGATGTTAAAATCAATTTATTGGGTTACTACAAGCATTAAAAATAAAATGGTATAGAATAGAAAATAAAATATTAATATATTCCATGTATGAAGGGTAAATAAGTTTTGTGCAACTTTTTTTTTCTAGTTATATGTATTTGTGTATGCACGCATTGGGTTGTGATGTAAAAGCCATTTGCTACTGTGAGTCATGGTCAATATAGTTGGAGAAACACTGCTCTGGGTATGTCATGGTCCCATATAGGCAGGGGCCTGCCACAATTAGTCTTCATCCCTGCATGGAAATGATCTGGGGAAAATCATCTCTAGTTCATATTGTCCCTGAAAGATGTTCATCATCTCCAAAGCCGTTGTCTGAGAATCCCTAAAATGATCTCTGGGAAATACCTTGTAGGTCTTAAAATTGAGATAGATCCACAATTCTACCAGTTAAGAAACAGTTACTGATTTCCGGTTGTTCCAGACGCTGCATGGTAGTGCGGAGAAACCAGCCTGAATGAGAGGGAGGCCCTCCTTGGCCCAGTGCTGGGACACACCAGGCTACTAGAGGTGGCAGAAAGCAAGGCTCTAAATGTGCTGTGAGAACTCAGCGCAGAGGCAAGACCCGGAATTGTGGCCATGGGGAGAGAAGGGCCAGGGGGAATTATTCACACAGACTTGCAGGGTTAGAGGTTAAGAAAGTGAGATATCGGCTTTATGCCATTTATTCATTGAACACACACACACATATTTTAACACCTATTACATCTTTGTGATATAGCAATGAAAAAAACAGATACTCCCTGCCTTTTTGGAGTTTACATTCTACTGGGAGAAATACAAAAAACAATAAATATAAGTAAATAATCTGATAAAAGGACAAACTGCTATGGACGAGAAAGGTGAGCAGGGGAATGGTGATTAAAAGTGAGGCCGCTAGTTCTAATTTTAAGTTGGAGATATTCAATGAAATACATTTAGAATCTAAATATAACAGGAATATAAATCTATTCTAATACAGAATCTACAAATAGTGCCACAGAACGAGCCTCTCAAACTGAGGCTCCTCTGCAGGCTGCATTGACATTGCGCAGCCACCAGGGCGCAAATGGGCCATTTCTGAGAAAACCGCGCGAGGGTCAGGGGGCTGAGAGATGTGGGAAATTCACACCCCTGTCCCCAAGTGTTCTGCAGAGGCCTCTCCACTTAAAGGACACTGGCGAGACAGGCGGGGTTTTACTGTGTGACCCAGCCCAAGACATTTTTGCCCCAGGCTTCTCTTCCTTGGCTGGTCCTCACCCAGCAGCGGATGAAGGCCAAGCCAAATAATGGCCCTCAGCCTGGCTGTTCGGCATCCAGTATGTGTCACAGCCAAGTGACAGTGGTAGAGCAGACGTGCTGGCCTCGTCTTCGGGGCCTGCAGGGACATATCTGGGTTATCTGCAGCGAGGATTCCCGCGATCACACTCAGCGCCCAGGGTCTGTCCCAAAGCCCCACTAGACGTTTTTCGTTCCCTTGCAGTATTGAAGGCGTCGCCTAGATCTGATCGTTCGCTCTTGTCGTTCGTTTTCTCGATCCTTCCATCCCCAGCCTCTGCGGGCGGATCGGCGACCATTCCTATGTTTGGGACAAGGCGGCANCCGCGTGGGGGTGGGCGTCGCGGGAGTGACGCCGGGACGTGGGAGAAAGTGACGCGGCGCCACACGCCCCGCAGGCCGGGGTGCCTGGGTCGCCGCCGCGCACTCAGAGATCCCCACGCGTCAGGCGCGCTCCCTGCGCCGCACGGGTCGCTGTTTCCCGGACGTGTGACGGCAGGAAACGGCAGGAGCCCCCTTAGGTAGCGCCGTGTTCGGAGGCCCCTTCCCTCTGCAGAAGCCCCGGCGGCCGGAGAGGTGGCCCGGGGGGCGCGGCGACCCCCGGTGACGGAGGCAGCACGTTCTGGTGTTGACGACATTTATTCATTGTCAGGGTCGCTCAGCCTCCCTCTCAGGCCGGGCGGGAAGGGGGACGCCGCGGGGACGGGGGAGGGCGGATCCTATAATAAGAACCGGCGCATTCTCGGAGCCGAACCAAGCCCGGTCTCCATTTCCAGAGGGAGGCGGCCTCGGCGGCGCTCGTGGGAGGGACGCGGTGGGGCCAGCCGGCGGCGTGGACGGCGGACGGTGCCCTCAGCGGTCCCCTCGGCCGGCGTGTGCGCGCGCGCGTGTGCGCCCGACGTGCCGCCGCC